TAAAATAATAAGTTTACAAAATACCTCTAATGTTGTGGAAATTGATGGCTCAGTGGTAAGCGTGTCCACTTTCATACTAATGGATTTGGGATCGAGCTCAGATAGGGGAAATTTTTTTTTTTTTTTTTTTTTGCATTTTGTCTATTTTTTATTATTTTTTTTAAAATAAAAAATATCCTTCTTACAGATAAACAGAGAAGAACGGAAGACCTTAGTTGTTGCTGTAGCAACAAGAGTTTCTAGTTATCTATCTAATTGTACGTAGCTTAATTGTCTAGCCATGTGTAATTCGCTTTTTTTTTATATGTTTGTACTTAGCTTAATTGTCTATCTGCTTGTTAAATTAGCTGAATTACAATTATCCACCTGTATGTAGAAAGCTTAATTTTCTTTCTGTGTGTAGTTATATGTCTATCTGTGTGTGCCTAGCTTAATTGTCTATCTGCGTTTACTTTTCTGAATTGTCTATCTGTGTAAACTTAATTTAATTGTCTTGCCGTGTGTACGAATCTTACATGTAATTGTCTACCTATATGTACTAAGCTTAATTGTCTATCAATGTGCTCCTAGCTTAGCTTAATTGTCTGTCTGTACGATGTTTATTTGTCTTTCTGCGTGTACGTGGCCATATTTAGAAGCACTTTATCTTTTTTATCTTTTTGGTAGTATAACAGTTAGATATAATTTACAATATATTTCATTTTATGAAATGGAGGATGGCGGGTTTATGGATTCCAATTTGTAGTTGTTAATGGAGTTTAGGCCTCTCAAACATTTCTTTAAAAGTACTACATACTAACGTAAAATTGAAACTTGAATAAATTCTCACACACCAAAAATTAGATAAATAAGCCTATAGTAAGAATTTGCAGAAAATTCTTAAAAATTAAAAAGGCCGACATTCCGTCAAAAATCACCTAAAAATTGTGTACGGTTGAAAGTGTGTTGTAAAGTGCCCAAGTGTAATCATATTTTCCTTTTTTCAGTTAGTGGAAGAATATCCAAATTTGGGAGGAAGTCCATGCAGAACTGATGCAAGTGATAGAGGTGGAAATTTTTATTCTGCATATTGTTTGCTCTTGTTTTCCCAATGCAACGTGACCAATTTCTTTCTTTAATATTTGTAACTGTTAACAACAAGACAAAATTGATAAAAAAAAAAATGTTCAGTTAATTTAAAAACCAAACAGAAACCGTTTAATAAATGGGGGGGGCCTTTTTGAAAGGAATATTTAAGTTTTAAAAAAAAAAAAGAAAAAAGAAAAACAGGAATAAATGGAAGATTAATTTAAAAATGCTATATTTTACAATATCGCTTGGAAGTTGTACATGAACTATCTGTATTACTACTATCCGTATCACCAAGGCTCAACTGTATTTAAAATTAAATTGAAAACCATTTCTACCAAAAAATTCTTTCCAATTTTACCCTTTCGTTTTAAAAAGTTTTTTTACTGCACAATCCATCATCGGAACCTTCCCATACCCTGTCTATTCCAAAAAATTTGTGTCCCAAAACATGTTGGATTAGACGGGTTTCACTGTACTATATGTATATTGTTTTAGGTGTTGCTAGTCATATTCAAATTAAAATTATACATATTGTATAATGTAATAACATGTACGTATATTGTTTATCAAGACAATTTTTTTTTTGTATTATTATTTCTTGTCTGAGGCATGTGTTATTTTTATTTTTTTTCTTTCTGAATTAGAAAAAAAAAGAAACCAGCATGACTACTGGTTACATGTACGAGCAGAATATGCTGATATGGACCAAGGTTTGAAAAGTAAAATATATATTCATTTCAATATTTAAAACTTAACTGTTTAACAAGCTAAGTTAGATAAAAATGGATCAGAAGTTAATTTTTTTTATAAAACAAATAAATTCCTTTAAGATGCTTAAAACTTGGTCATAAAAGGTGTTTCAGGGTATAATTTTGGGATATATAAACAAGATGAAAATTCATATTTTTAAATTTTAAAATGTAAATTCCAATGAAAATTAAAAAAACTAATCATGGATAGGGAAGGGTTTTTTTCCATATTAAGCAAAAAAAAAAATCCAGATTGCCTACAGTCTTTCAGAAAACGGTAATTTATACAGGTAGTTCTTGGCTTCCTCTTTAAAATATTGTCATATTTAATATACAGTGGAGCCTCATTTATCCGGAGGCTTTGGTTCCTGGTCAATTTGTCCAGATATGTGAAGCATCCGGATATCTGATTTACCAGTAAACAAGACAAAATAACATTAAAAATATTTTGTTCCCATGAAAAGTTGTTCAGTTGTACTGAACATCCCGGGTACTGGGATCAGGATATCTGAAGGTCCACTGTAGATATCTGGGGTACATTTCCTGTGATTTTGAATTGAACAGCATGAAAAACTTTATTTTATACATAATTCTTTTTTTGAGCCATAAAGTTCGGTAAAAAGAAAATTTAGAGATATTATGATGTCAACGACTACCTTACCCTCCCCCCCCCCCCTCACTGCACGAAATAGGTTTGTCATGCTTGGAAATGCGTTTAATTTTTTTTCTCTCGTGAGACGGGTCTAGGGTTTTCAGTTTGAGAAATATGAAAAAAAGATGGGCACATTTGGCGTGTGATCTACTCTTAAAACATCTTTGTAAGGAAAGCTACAGCAATTGTACCAAATACATAATAAAAAAAAAAACTGTATAAATATATTTGATTAAAAATTTTTTTTTCCAAGGGAATTTTTTAAACTTTATCTTAAGATATTTGTAATACAAATATCTCAAGATAAAGTTTGACAAAATTCCTCTTGGGAAAAAAAAAGAAGATTTCTCAATTAAATATATTTATATGAGTATATGGTTAACAGTATTATTAATTTCAATTCAAAGCGTAAAATTTAATATTTTATATTTTTTTTAAATCTGGCAGATAGAGGAAGGCATCAATGAGAAAAAGACGCAAGTTACTTTGTAATTTTTTTTATTTTGACCTTTTCAAAAATATAGTGTTGAAAAGTTACCCCCAAAGAAAATAACATATATTTCATATTACATGTATTATAATGACTGTATAATTCTTAAACTCATGGAATTGTCTAGGAATCTTTCCATTTTTCTAGAGGAGATTATTGTTCAAAAAGTGGAAAGGTCAGTGGGGAAAATAAATTAATTGAATTCTTATTCTCTTTTGAACCTCTGGGCCAGAAATGACAAGATACTTTACGAGGGTTGTCCGTAAAGTTCGTGGACAAGCTAAAATTTAAATAAAAATAGTGTCATTGATATTTATTATTAACATATTTATAATCCTTCACTATATTTGAATAACATATAAATGTAAAATTATATACAATTTCAAATATATAATTACAATTATGGCTTCATTATTAGACTTTATATGGTGACCCGGAGCACCACAATACTTTGATTAAAAATTTATTTATTACTTTATAAATATCATATTGTATAGTGATTTTTTGAAATTTTTGATTTATGAAATCAGATAATTCTTCAACAGAAATACAGAACTCATCAACTGGAATCATCAGCCATTGTTATACAGCGGGCCTGGAAGAACACATGGAAAAACACGACCAGGCAGCAACCATTCCTGAGTGGCTGATTTTGAGAATTCAGGCATGGTACAAAGGCAGAAAACAATACAAAACCTACAAAGAACTTAGACAAACAGTTCTTGTGTGTCAGAAGACTTACAGAGCTTGTAAATTAACACAGTCAGACAGAAGGAAATTTTTAGTCCTTAGAGGAGCAGCTCTGACTATCCAGGCGTTTTATAAAGGTTATAAAACAAGATCCAAATACCAAAGGATACAACAGACCAAACCAGTCTGGGTCTAGAGCTCATAAAATACAGACATTTGAAGAAAGCCACAACCACCATTCAGAGGGCTTAAAGGAACTACTGCCACAACAAACTTGTCAAGGTTAGATCAAGTTAAACATGTTTTGTTTGTTAATAATCAAATGAATTCAAAGGAAATAGTTAAAAGAAAATTGCTTTGGTAAAATGCATTGTTGTTTTTATGCGCCCGAATTTTTTCGGTGCGCACATTGTTTTTGTCCTGTCTGTTTATCTGTTTGTCTGTTTGTCTGTTGTCAACTTTAATCTTTGCCAAAACTTTTGAACCATAAGAGATACATATTTGGTATGCATACTCCTCTAATAAATTTCCTTCAAATGACATCAAGGTCAATGACTTTGTGACCTTGACTGTGACCAATATGCTAAAAATAGCTTTTTCAACTGTTTGTCATAACTTTTGAACCATAAGAGATAGAGACTTCATATTTAGTATGCATACTCCACTAATAAAGTTCTTTCAAACAACACCAAGATCAATGACCATGTGACCTTAATTGTGACTTATATGCTAAAAATAGCTTTTTCCACTTTTTGCCATAACTTTTGAACCATAGGAGACAGGGACTTCATATTTAGTATGCATACCCCACTAATTAAGTTCTTACAAACAACACCAAGGTCAATGATTTTGTGACCTTGACTGTGACCTATGTGCTAAAAATAGCTTTTTGAACTTTGTTGCCAACGGGCGCATAGTGTTTCACAAACACATCTTGTTTAATTTACTAAAATGTTTAAAATTTTGTTTTCTTTATAAGAAATTATTAGTATTATGAAACAATGAATTAGTAAATTGTTTGTTACAGGATGTTATTGCCCCAGAGACATGTTCATGCCTCAGAGTAGATTTGAACCTAGGACCTCTGGTTGCCAGTCCAAGGCATAAACATGTCTACATTGTACATAATTACTGGTAAGCCATTTGATTTTCATACCTATAAATTTATTTTTAAAAAAAGTTTTCATCAAGGGCAGATAATTCTTCCAAAACTTTTAAAGTGCAAAATGACTGACTCGTTACATGTTATCAGTCTTGTGAATATGGTTAACTTTTATCGTTATCTAGCAATGTGTTTTTCACTAGTTTATAATTATTTTAAATCACTCAAAACCCCTCATTATACACTGAATACCTTATGTATTGCTAAATTTAATTATCACGTTCAGTAAGACCTTATTGTTTAATACTTTAGGTCCTTTATAACCATTAGAAGGGCCGATGTTGAAGATGAAACTCCTATTTTGTTTCCTGTTGGAACAGAAATATCTCTAAGTGATTTACGTATGTACATCGGTTTCGTTTCTCATGAATATGAATTGCTACATGTAGTAGTAAATAAATAGACACTATACGAATATAATTTTGATAAATTTGGCTTTAATAGGCTGTATATTGTACTTAGTTCATATTCATTTTCAATGTGTAACATGATTGTATGTCTGTATTTATTCAAGCATTATACTTCTCTTACTAAAGGTTGTGCTTTCCCTAATATCATTTCCCTGCGTTACACTGACGAAGACCAGAAACTTCATTACCACATAATAAGTAAAGACGACAAATTAGTAGAGCCAGATGGGGGTTGGTTAAAAAAAAATCGAATGTATCTAGCTGTCTGTGGGGTTGGACAAAGAGGTGTGTATCTGATTCTCAAAATTGTAGTGTCTCAGAAAATAGTTATACTCAATGTCTTTCAACCTATGAACGATAACGGTGCATTGTCTGTTCATATACACTGTAGATGGGATTACCTCTCGCCACGGACTTTTTCAGTCATATAGGCGTCAGTTAGCATCATCGTCTAACGGAAAAGAAAAACGCAGCACAAAAGACGAAGAAGCATCAGTTATGGTAAATATGTTCTTATTTACAATCTCGAAAATTAAACTCCTTATTGAAAAGAGACAGCTGCTTTACCGATGACTCGGCCTACTCGAGTGAGTCGAGTCACCTGTTTCTGTTTATATATACAATTTAAAATCAAAGTACATGTATGTAATCATTTGTGAACCAGTGTTATAATTTCATAGTTACAAGTTTGTTGCATGACGGCAATTTTACTCGTCCAATACTCTTATTCTAAACAAGATTGTTTGAAAGTTTAAAAATAAAACAGACTAACAGCTATGATTTTGGGTCATTAAAACAGTTTAAATGTATTATATATCTCTTTTAAAAAATATTTATACATGTATTATAAATAATAAAAGAAAACATATGAAAATGCACACATAGAAAAAAAATAAAATAGTTAAGTTACACTCACTGTGAGATTCGAACTCACGATCACTATATCTTCAATCCAGCAATCAAACCACTACGCTACGAAGTCTTGATCAACAAATGAATAAAATTAATACAGATTGTTTAATTTTGAAATAATTTTAGAAAAATTAAATACATATTTTCAACATTTTCCATATGAAAACTACCTTTAACCAAATTATCTAAACATAATGAAGTGCAGTCATATCCAAAGAATTAAGGGTGGTTTTTTCCTACAGTTTGTCATTGTTTATGGGGGTACCTCAGTATTTACTACATTCTCCATATAACTAAACGATTTTTATAAGTATCATATGAGGGAACTATTAATAATTCAGTATTATTTTTGTGTGAGTTGCTTTAAAGCATGTATAAACTAATTTTGTATGACAAAATTTGGTTAAAATCACTACTAGAGTAGGCAAAAGTGACTATCAAATGCGCTAATGCTCTTTACATTTGCAACGTGTATGACAGAAAAGTAGATATACTAATGACTCCTTTATTTTTTTAAGTTAAAGGTTGGGCATGGTCAGTTCAAATCAGGGAAATTTACCCGGATTTCAGCCAACAGTTTATCTCTTCAGGGAGGTATTGTACTTGTGGGACCTTTTAATACAGAAGGAAACACCACGGAGGAGATTAAAAAGGCAGCATTTGAAAAATTTTCCATGCAAAACCGCCCCTTCAAGCAGAAGTTCAAGAGTCATACCCAGTTCGTCCTGGTTTATCCAGATGGAAAAAAAGTGGATATGCTCCCGGACGGAAAGGAGGAATTTTCCATTTTGAAATACAGAAATTTTTTAGATCCGAAGAAAAGATTCGACCGTCTTAGACTGTATATATGCAATACCAGTGAGTTTATGAAATATTCATTCAATTCTATTATTTTTTGATAACATCTAAAATGAAACAGCGAAATAATGCTAATTCAGTTAACGTTTTCAAACTATGTAAATGACTAAAATGAGGTGATGTAAAACACGCGTAAATTTGATAAAAACTGAAATATGTGGTGAGAGAAAAGAAGTTGGGGGATGAGGCGGTCGAAATGCCTAAAGCGCTACAGATAAGAGGTGAAAAATTAAATCTCTATCATATCCCAATTTTATTTGATATTTTATCTAATATTAGAGTATATATACTGTAAAATCTCCATAATTTACAAAAATCTCACAAATACTGAAAATAGTTGCCTATGAAAAAGCATACATAAACTATAAAAAGAACAAAAAACGATCATTTTCTCACACTTAAACAAAATTTTCAAAATGAGTAGGTCTTCGCTCCATTTTCTTGAAAGATGTTCCTAAAAGTTGTCAGTAGAATATACGAGGTGTTATCCAAAAGTTCTTGGACAAGCGTTATAAAATAAAAACCGGTTTAGATACATCAACGAATTTTAAAATATCTAGGTAGCATCATCTTTTCTATCTTAAGAATAAACCATAAATCATAAATTTTATTTATTAATAAATTAATAATGATTTTGTAAGCAATGGTATGTCAAGGCGGCGCTACCTAGAACACGACGTTTTTGCGACCTATGTGTAACTGAGAAAAACTCTTTTGATATGATCATTTGATATCCAAAATTCCAGTTAATTCAGATGTGTGTCGGGGCACAATTATTTTAAAAAATATGAAATTTTCACTTCATTCTGGAAGTTCTATTAAATTTTATCGTAAATTTTCACCGAATGTCCAAACAAATGATGCCTTGAAAAAAACTTTAGCCCCTCTCACTGATACATATATTGAATTTCGGGCAAATGACCTTTTTGTCGTGAAAGTTCAAGATATTGGAAAACAAAAATTGCCAGAAAAAATATACCGTGCCGTTGCACTTTTACTTTCAATTTCCATTTGTTTACGACTAGGTGCGTTTGACACCAAATGAAAATCTCTAACCAAAGTGTATCCCTACCTTCAAATTTTTACCTGTAACTCCTGTATACCTCAAAGAAACCCAAGTCTTGATATGAAATTTTTATCAACTTTATTTCACTTGTCAAATACATAACAAGTCTTTTCTCTTATCGACCAATCACGCGCCAGCTAGTATTTTCTCCTCCGCGCAACGTTGGGTGTCCAAAATGTCTGCGCCCATGTATTTGTTTATGTAGGGGTTTTTCCTATAGAGTAAAAGAAACATTTGTAAAAAGTGGTCAATTTAGTAAATTTAGAACACATATCCATTGCTTATCTGACCTCTTGAATATTTGGA